AAAGATCATTAACTCTCAGGACGTGGAGGCGGACAACCTTCTTGTCATGATTATTATTGACATTACCACTCGCAAAACGGCGGCTGCCCCGACTACCGAAATCTCCTAAAAAGAGGCGAGACTGCAAATCCGAAATAGGAAGAGGTGATGAAAGTATTCGATAAGCACAATCGTGGCAAGCAGACAACTGGTTGGCAATAAGTGAAAGCGCTTCCACAGAGCGAGGGCAATTTATAAAGTTCCTTGTTGACAAACTTCATGCTGACTAAATCAGAACTGAGGGGGAGGGCTGTACTTTGGGCTGTAGTGACTTCGGTTCCGCATACTGCATGGACAAGACGAGTAGTAAACCTACTCGTCTATTATGATAAAACTTTCTCGTCTTCTATAGGTATTCTATGAGAAGACCGTCGAGTCTTCTAATGGGAGATTCTTCTGATCGTATATAAGCAAACCTTCTTATTGTCTGTGTGAAAATCTTCGTGACTTCTATGAAAAGACTTTGTTCACCTTTTTATACCCTCAGCCATATGGCTGCAGAGGGTATACAGGGTGAGATAAAAAAGTGCAACCAACATCAGACTGCTGTCATTTCTAAGCCACTCGTCCGACAGCTGTTAAAATTATTCCAGTGACAGCTCATTATATTGTTTACAAGCGTTCAAAATCATTTTGGTGAGAATTTTCCAGAAAAATAGTTATTCGTGATGGAATCCAAGCGTGATAGTGTGATTTGTTTATATTTGGCTGGGAAACCACAAGTGGCTATCGTTAGAGCAGGCCAGCATTTATATGTGAATAAATCTTTTGTGTCTCGTACCATCACTGGTAGCGTAGACCGACGTCAAGGAAGGGGACGGAAGAAAGCAGCAACATCAGTAGAAATGGTTTGAAAAGTAAAAAAGCGACTTGATCGAAATCCGAGTCGCTGTGGCCGAAAAATTGCTCGTGAGCTGAACATATCGCAATATTCGATTCGACAAATACTGCAAAATGAGCTCGTGGTAAAGCCATTGAAATTCCAAAAAGTGCAAGAACTTACACCGCAACAGAAAGAAAATAGACTCAAAAGAGCTAAAGAGTTGCTTCGCTTGACCGAAAGTGGTGAAAACAATGAGAAAACATTCATTGTCCAGCAGTTTGTAAACAAACAAAATGATCGTGTTTACTTGCCAAAGAGATCAGCTGAAAATGTGCACCTTCAGTTGGCCACCAGAACTCAAGCGCCAGTCATGACGATGGTGTGGGCAGCCATAACAGGCGATGGTCACTCTCCGCTCGTATTAATCGACCGTGGCATTAGAATAAATACCGAATATTATCGCGAAAATATTCTGCAGGGTGTATTAAAGCCTTGGGCACGCAAACATTTTGGCCGCAGACCTTGGACATTCCAACAGGACTCAACACCATCGCACTCAGACAATTCACAATTCACTCACTGGCCACCAAAATCTCCGAGTATTTTGATTTGTAGTATTTTGGAAAACAAGGTTGGCACTAAAAAATGCAAAGTGTCGATCACCTCAAGTAAGCGCTTTGCCGGGAATGGGCCAAAATACCGCAGAGCAACATTCGGGCAGCGTGTGACGGTTTCATTGGCCGTTTGAATGCCATAATTCGTACCAAAAGTTGACCAATTCGAACAAATCTAAACTTATTCTAAAATTTGATGCTATTTCCGACATTTTTTGCTTTAATTCAATAAAAATGCAGTTTTTCATTTTCAATTTGTTGCAGTTTTTTATCTCACCCTGTCAGCTATATCCGAATCTGAACAGATCTCAATAAAATTTCGCAGAGGTATTTACATATCTGGTATCAAATATCATTGTTACCATATAGCGAATTTTAGGGACCTAAACACCAAATCGGATGAAAAATATATATGGGAGCTATTGCTATATCTGAACCGAATTCTGAATTCTGTTAGTAGAGCCGAAATACATCCTATTTGGACAAATATTACACAATAAAATGGAAATCTGTTGTAGATATATTTGGGTGCTATATCTTAACTTGAACTGATTATCACCAATTTCAATCATTTTCATCCTTGGGCCAACAAATGATTTGTGGAAGATTTAATTGTAATCTGATATGGATATATCGACCCAGAATGTGATTCTATGGGGATCATCAAAATGAACTGTGGGCGTATTTCTTTTCCTTCTGTGTGTTACAGACAAATGTTCAAAGACATAATACCCTGTATCACAGCGTGGTGTCGGGTATAAAAATGGGCCACACAAATCCAGCACCGATATAACAAACCGCCTGGTTTAAGGTCTTTTTGAGGTTTTTGGACATATTTTTCAATCGATTTCATTGCGTTTGTTTATGTTCCCAGTGGACGAAAAGGTATTTTGCAAGGACTCCATATAACGGTCCTCTTTCGATATTCAGCATTTTGATTATTTTAGCCACACTTTTCGAAGCTATGTGTGGAGCTCTCAATAGTTTCCATCTTAACTCTAATAAACTTACATTTCTTATTACAAATAAGAAAGATGCGCGTTTACTCTCGAGACGGAGGAGAATTAGTGCCTATTGAGTACCCAGGATGTACACACGAATGCCTTTCGAAAAAATGCCGGAGGGCCAAACGGTAAAAAATGTAAATACAAAAAGGAGAAAACATTTCTGAATTGTATCCATTTTGGAGAACCGGCCACCAGGACCGCACCCAACACCAGGTCTTCCAACATCTCCAATACGAATTCCTCATCGTCTCGTATACATAGTCCTCCTCGTCTCCTATACGAAGACCTACTCGTCTCCTATACAAAGACCTCCTCGTCTCCTATACGAAGACCTCCTCGTCTCCTACACGAAGACCTCCTCGTCTCCTATACGATGACCTCCTGGTCTTCTATACAAAGACCAGAAGAAGACCTCCTCGTCTTCCATTCGAAGACATACTCCTCTTATTTATTTATTTATTAATTCATTTCATACCATAATACTAAAGCCTCCAACGCCAATGAATAGTATTAATAACGCAATTATGCTCCAAGTAGAAAATAATAACTTAAAACTAATTATAACTAAGTCAATATATTTGGCTCCCCAGCCATAAATACACAAAAATTGAAAAAAAGAGATTAATATTAATAATAAATAAAGGACCTGATAGCAACAAAGCAACAAGCCTTAAATAAGTGTACATACATATCTCAAAAGTAAAAGTACTAAAAACATGTACTGTTTTTAACAAACTAATAATATACATTAGATAATATGAAGATCAGAATTACGAAGTTTTAAGCGGAAAGCATTATTAGACGGTGAAAATATTCTCAGTTCAGTAGGCAAATAATTCCATAAACGGGCAACTCGTATTACAAAAGATCTCTCAAAAGTAGAATTGTATATTCTAGGTATAAATATCTGAGTATTTCTCGAGGACATAGCAAATCTGAACATATTCTTTAATAAAGCAGGTACACCTGTTTTCACAATTTTATAAAAAGAGCATAACATCCTACAATTAACAAACCGTTCAAAGTTAATTCCCAAGAAAATATCCACATAGTCAGATATATGTTGCCCAAGTCTAACTCCAAAGACAAAGCGGGTAATGGAATTAACCACACGTTTTAACTTCAAGGACACACGTTTTATTGTGCCAGACATAACCTCCAAGCCATAATAAATATGAGGCATCAGTAGAGCATAAGCAATTTTCCTTTTGACCCAGATCGGAAGAGAAAGATTCGTAGAATATAACCTGCGGATAATACTATAAACTTTCCTTTAAACAAAGTCAACATGTGTATCAAATAAAAGTTTATCATCAACAAATAAACCTAAAATTTTATGACAATTTAAAATAGCAACTCTATTAAGAAAAATATTGAGCTGAGATGAGAAATTGCCAAAGCATATGGCTCTAGTTTTCACAGGATTGGTTACCCTTCTTCTTCTATTCGAAGATCTTCTGACTTTTATACGAATGTATTCTTGTCTTCTAAACGAAGACCTCCTGGTCCTCTATAAGAAGACTTTCGAGTCTTCTATACGAAGACCCCCTCCTCTTCTATGAGAAAACCTCCTATTCTCTTGTGAGAAGACCTTCGTGTCTTCCATGAGAAGATCTTCTGTTCTTCTATTCGAAGACGCCCTGGGTATATTCCTAAGATCTTCCGGTCTTCAATGCTAAGACTTTCGGTTCGAGAAGACCTTCTGGTATCCTATGCTAAGACCTTCGGGTCTCCTATGAGAAAACTTTCTGGTCTTCTATGAGAAGACCTTCGGGTCTTCTGGGAGAAGACCTCCTGGTCCTCTATAAGAAGACTTTCGTGTCTTCTATACGAAGACCTCCTCCTCCTCAATGAGAAAACCTAATATTCTCCTATAAGAAAACACCCTTGTCTTCTGTGAGAAGATCTTCTTCCCTTCTATTCAAAGAGCATACGAACCCCTCCTGGGGTTTTTACGAAGACCTTCCTCCTTCCTCTCTCTATGAGAAAACCTTCTTCTGGTCTTTTATGAAAAAATCTTCTGATCTTCTATGAGAAGGCCTTCTGGTCTTCTATGAGAAAACCACTGGTCTTCTATGAGAAGACCTTCTGGTCATCTTCTAAAGAGACAAATTTTTAAATTGTTTTTTATCCGAGTGCGATAATTAGCCTCCTAATGCAGCATTGTTAGCTAATAATTATTGAGTGACAGAAAAGTCGGCAGACAATGGCTCGACCTTTAACCTAATTGGACCCATGCCTTGATTGGTTGCTTATTATACCAAAAATTAAATCATATTCACCAACCATTTTTCGCATTAAACTTCGAAATCAGAGATTATATAGGAATACTTTTGCCGTAAAGGTTTTAAAAATTCCGAAATATTTAAAAATTAATTTTCATCTTACATATCTTCAAATTCCTTGAACCAACTGGTAATCCCTTTCTCCGCAGTATTATTCCCCGTTTTGGTTCACCCCTTCATTTTGAAATTAAAGAAACAACTTGCTTTTTTAATTTTTCTAACATATACAGCATTTGCTGTTGTTTTTTATTTGTGAAATTTCTATATAATTAGTATTTAAACGATGCATTTTGTTTTTCACATAGTTCATTGTCGTGTGTTTTTATTTTTTGTTTTGTTTTTAATTTATAAATTTAGTGTATGGAGATAGCTTATAATCTAATTTGTATTTTTTTATTATTTATATTCTATTAGTTATAAATAATTGAATGTTTAAATATTTTTTGTTGTGACTACTTGCGTTGATTCGCCAACAGAATTGAAGAAGTTGTTATTAGTGTTCCAAACAAAAATCCATACTATATGGCAAATTTTGAAAGACGACCAACTTGAATTTGTTCTTTTGAATTAAAGACAAAGCATGATTGAAGAATTTAGTTGAATTGGGGGGAACCAATAATAAATCAAATCCTGAATTTTCAATTTTGATTCGGACTTCATTCGAAATGACCCCCAATAGGGGGTAATACAAAAAAAATTGAAGTAAAAATTCAAGTGTTGTTGTGTTAATGACTACATTATATAACTACATTGTATTAAAATTTATGGAAATTCAAAATGTATAGTAAATAAAATAAATATAAACATAGAAAAAAAACATACATTCTATGGATGTGGGTTAAGAAAGACGAAACATTTTCATGTTAAACATTCTTAAGCGAAAAGTAAAATATTATTTTTGTACAGTTAAACATTACACAAAGTTGAAGGGAAGAAGTGGCGTTTTAGTGTAAAACTTAACAAATAATAGTAAAACAAACAGATACACAAAAAAATAATAATTTTGTCAACATAAAACAACTATGGCAATTCATGTAAATAAATATAAAACGGTCAGAGGTAATTTACAAAAGAACAATACACTTGCATAAATTTTAAATGTATTTAATATCTAAATATTTTCACTTGCAATTGAAGTTTCAGTGGCTCGACAATGTTGTAACTCTGTTGTGCTGCCGGGCGACAACACAATTCTACATCTTAAATTAAAAGTATTTAATTTCTTTAATCAAAACGTTTCAGAGTATTTCTTTTATTGACGAAATTCAATTACATTTTTTTCCTGTTTCCAATTTTCATTTGGAATTTTCTGAAAATTCCATAGGAATTCATTTTGCAAATTTGTGGAATTTTATTTGACAGATGGAATTGGAATTCCCATTTCTTTCCATTTTCCATTTTGCTTTGTGGCACACATTAACAAGTTAATAATTCTAAATATATTCTAAATTTACTTAAATATGTTTGTTGTACGACGACTCGTATGCTCTATGATGAGGAGACGGCCAAAACATCACTACTACTGCTTCGACTCTTGTTCGAGGATGAGGATGATTTGGAGGTCTTAATGCCGGTCAATGTCACCGAACCGGGTCCATTGAGGAAATGCATTTTTACATGTTTCTGCAGTTCGAGCTGGGTGTCGAAATACACTTGGCAGAGATCACAGGAGAAGCGGGATTTAACAACGGCATTGGCCACAACATTGTTGGGTTTACGGTTTTCCGTTGATGAGGCATCATCGTCATCATCGAACTCATCGCTGTCGTTGTCATCGTCATCCTCATCGTCGTCGTCATCATCATCTTCATCAACCTCGGAATAGTTTGCATTGGGCCGTGATTGTGGTTTTGGCTGTTGTGATGACAGTTGGGCGGCTGGGGGAGGGGCAGACTTTTGTCTTAGCGCTGCATGGTCGTCCTCATCCACTTCTTCATCGTCCACATCATCATCATCCTCATCATCATCATCGTCGTCTTCTTCATCATCATCCTCGTCATCATCATCTTCCTCGTCTTCGCCCAAATCGACTTCTTCATCTTCTTCGCCACCCACAGTCTGCTGGGCTCCCACAGCTAAATCATCAAATTCTCCTTCCAATATTTCTTCTTCCAACTCTTCTTCCTCTTCCTCTTCGTCGTCATCGTCATCATCTCCATAGCCCTGGTGTTGTTGATTTTGTCGTGTATTATTGTTTGACTCATGTTGCTGCTCACTGTCACCATCACCATCTTCATCGTTTTCATATTGATCCTTGGCACTGTCCCGGGAGTCATCCTCCATTTGAGCCATTGGTTTTTGTTGCAGACCAGGCAGTTTAATTTTCTTAAATTCATGCATTTCTTGGGCGGATTCTTTATTCTGTTGTTCCTCGGAATTATCGTTGTTGTGTTGCTGTGGCTTCTGCTGTCCGGACTCATTATATTCGACTGGAACTATCACCTGTTCTTTCATGTGATTATGCAAATGATTGATAAGTTTCTCTTTGCGTGACACATAGGCACCACATAGATCACAACCCCATTGGAATGGTCCGAATGGCTTCATTACCCTCGCTTCTCCAACCTTGTGTTCAATCCATTCGGCCTTCGATTCAAATTTAACATTACATTTACGACACATGTTCGGTGGATCACATTCGATTCTCGGTGGTTCGGGTAAGTTGCCAATTTCGTTTTTGTGCAGTTCGAAGAGATGGCGACGTAGATTATTATTGCTTATGAAGGTGGACGGACAGTATTGGCATTTAAGTTCTCGTTTGCGTTTCTGGGATCGGTTCAGGGCATGCGGCGCCGAAGAATTGATCGAATGACGGGGCACCAAACCCACCGCTTGTAATCCCAGTAGATGTGGATGGTTGTTCGATTTCAGTTGGTTCTGTTGTTGGGATTTGCTGTGTGGCAGGCTGTTGTTGTTGTTGTTGTGGACTTGATTCGCTGATAGATGATCGGCATCGTTCTGTGGGTGTGTGTTCGAAATGAAAACAGAGATGGAAGAGAGAGAAAAAGAAAACTAATATATGAAAACAAATCCTTTTTGAAATGGGTGCAACCCTTTTTGTGTTGCATCGAAGATTTCATAATTTTTGTGACTGGTGTGGAGGCAAAACACTTATCCAGAAAAGTATACTTTGTTTTGTTTGTTAGAAAATGTCCATTTGTTGATGCGCAGAATTTTGCTTGCATTGATTGTTTCGGAAGCACAATTTAGACGAATGAAAGATAACAAAAACAATGGTTAAACTTATCATTTAAAAATTAATTTTGAAAAATTTTGACATTATTTTTGAAAAATTTTAGGAGACGGAAAAAAGTTGGATTTAATTTCAACACTTAGACAGAGATCTGAAAGTGAAAATCTTAACATGAAGGTAATTTTTATTGAGAACTTCATTGCACTGTTTTACGAGAAACATTAGAATCCTGCAATCCTCTTAACTTCCTAAATTTTTTTCGGTTTGGCTCCTAAACTAATGATTATCAAACCATGTAAAACCAGTATGGAAAACTCAAAAGGTCGGACGGGCTGACTATATGACAGCCTACACTACTATGCATATTTAGTAGAGCTCCCGTAACAAAAAAAAATAATTTGAAGTTGATCATACCACCTTTAGCTTTGGCTTTAAAGCAGTAACAGTTTAGTTTCAAAGGGAACTGATATCCAGGCATATCCAATTCTGAATCGATTTTCAATAAATTTGACGGAGACATTTTTATCTTTTATACCAAATAAAATTGCTATAGAGCTGAGTTCCACAAAACGGAAACGTACGTCCGAAAATGCACTCCATTTGGGCTTACATTAGCCATTATTTGCACAATAAAACTGAAATCGGATTAAGGATATATATGGGAGCTTTATCCAAATCTTAGCCAATCTCGATAAATTTGGCTATGAATTAGGTCGGATGTACCAAACCAAGGACTTTTGGACAGATATTGGCCATTTGGTGCACAATTAACCCGAAATCGGTTGAAGATATATATGGAAGCTATATCCAAATCTGAACCGATCTTGACAAAATTTGGCAGAGGTATTTCCGAGCTATATAAGATATCTGATACCAAATATCATTGTTGTCGAATGCATGTTACGAATGTGAGGGACCTAAACATCAAATCTATTTCATTAGATATATAATAATATATGGGAGCTATAGCTATATCTGAACCGATTTCCTTCGAATACGATGTACTTGCTTCTAGACTGAATTCGATCAGATGTGCCAAAGTTCAGGTCATTTGGACTGATATTGGCCATTTGGTGCACAATTAATCCGAAATCGGTTGAAGATATATATATGAGAGCTATATCCAAATCTGAGCCGATGTGGATGAAATTAGACAGAGGTATTTCCGAGCTCTATAAGATATCTGGTACCAAACATCATTGTTTTCTAAAGCATGTTACGAATGTGAGGGACTTAAACACCAAATCGGATGAAACGTATATATGGAAGCTATAGCTATATCTGAACCGATTTTCACTAAATTTCATGTACTTGCTTCTACACTGAATTCGGTTGGATGTGCCAAAATTCAGGTCATTTGGACTGATATTAAACATTTGGTGCATAATTAACTCGAAATCGGTGGAAGATATATATGGGAGCCATATCTAAATTTGTACCGATTCTCACCAATTTCAATAGGGTTCGTCCTTGGGCCAAACAAAGATTATTAAACGTGACAAACTAAATCCAACTTTAACCAATAACATTTGTGAGTTCTTTTTTTGAACTTCGCTTTATGCCAGCCTCAAAAAAAAGAGGCACGGCGGCAAATCGATAATTTTGAACAATTTTAATCCAAAACTGTTGCATTCCAAACATTTATTTGCATTTAAAGGACATTTCTCTTACGCGTTGCACTTTCACTATGGTTTTCGTTTTTGTTTCAAAGCCTTCAAAGCCTCACTGCACAAGTCCAAAAGCTCACCTGTTTGTTATCACCTCTGAAATGCCATTTCCTATGTACTTTAAATGCTGTCATTTGTGTAAAGGTCTTTGAACACAAATCACACGCATACTCGCCATTATCGTTAACACGATCCATATAGAATTGATTGGGATCGGCTGGACCTGTATCGAACATGGCCGCAAGCGGATTATCTGTATAGAGTTCTTGTTCATGCATCTGAATGTGCTTGACAAAGAGTTCTTGATCGGTGAAACGGGCACCACAGATTGTACATGCAACCTCTGGTAGTTTGATTTTCATACTGCCAGCGGTGGCTTGTAAATTTGTGGAAATCGCATCAGTGTCGTGAGCATCACGGGAATGGTCATCATCGTCTTCGTCATCGTCGCCAGTTTTGTGTTTGTATATGGCAGCAGCAGAAGATTGTGTTCCAGCGCCACCTGTTTCATTGTTGGCCGAAGTAATGGGCTTGCGATTACATGTCGGTATGTGATGATCCAACATTTGACTGTCGAAGAATACTTTTTTACACAAAACACATTCGGATGGTTCGGGAATTTGGGGATGTTTCTTGTAACGATGTACCTAAAAAATACGGACAGCAATTAAAGATCACATCCAAAAAAAAAACAAGGCACCTACCCAAAGACTTTTGCGTCCGCTATATACATTGCCACAATCCTTGCAGGAATAGTCATTGGAATCGAATTCATCGTGGGAATTAATATGTATGGCCAATTTCTTATTTGTATTGAAATTGGAGGGGCAATATTTACACTGATACCAGTACAGGGGACCAGAACTGCCATCACCTCCGCTGCCGCCCGCTCCTCCTGAAACACTAACAGGTGTAGATATACCCGACAAATCTGCGGCCGTAGCATCTGCACCACCACCACCACCAGTTCCACCAACCGATTCATCCATGTTATAATCATCACCATCATTTGACATTGTACGTTCCGCACCACCCTGTTTCTTGTGAACATTGGCCAAATGATGTTGCAACTCAACATCGGTACGATATACAATTGAGCATATTTCACATTCATATTGTTTGATAATCATGTCGTCTTTCAACAAGGTATTGTGGATCTTAAACATGTGCACCTTGAGACCCTTTTCATAGGCAAATTCAGCATCGCACAGCTTACACTTGATAAACTGAACATTACGTATCTGATGATCATTTAACATATGATAACGATAGGATTTCTTCGAGGAGAAACGACGCTGACAAATGCGACAACGCATTCTACGGAACCGACGATCGGCAGCCTGTTCCAGGGATTTCTTTAAAATGGCCTGGGTTCCTCCTGATGACAACGTTGTGTGCATTAAACTATTACCACCGCCCAATGATTTGGAGTTTGAGCTGAAGCTATTATTGGCTGCACTCTGATGCGAACGCATATGATTCGAGAGACCAATGTTGTTGGCAAATACCGCATTGCAAATGGGACATTCACGGGGACTGGCATTGGTTGGTGTTCCGCCATTTGAGCCGGGGCCATCGAAACGCATTTTCTTTGAGGAATTTTCAAATTCGCCATCGTCATCAGCTGCAAAATGAAAGAAACAAAAAATAAGTTTTAATATGAGATTTTTAATAATTGAAATTCAAACCTTATACCAAACAAAAATTGAAAATAAAAGAAAAAAAAATCAAGCCCACCCTTACCCAGTGTCCCACCATTTGTTATAGACATCAAATCCTTCATAACATAATCATAACGTCCGGTATATTGGCTATGGGAATTGCCTCCCGTCGATGATCCGCCGTCGGTTGCAGCTTTGACAGCATCCGCATTGACAATATACTCAAATCCTGTGTGACGTGCCTTGTCCGCACCATGAGCACTAACCATATGTTCACGAAGATTCGATAATCTTGGATAACCTTGACCACATTTAACACACTTATATGTTTGTGGCAATTGATCAGGATGTTTGGATTCCATGTGCCGTAGTACATTGTTATAGTTATTGTATTGTTGACCACATATCGGACATGCCTGGGGCATACGTGAAAAATATTGAGCTCTCGGTTGGCTTGTATTTACAAGATTTACATTAAAACTGTTGCGGGATTCATCGGTGGATGAGGCACCTGAAAGAAAATGGAATTAAAATTAGTGCGAATTATAAGTGCAATGCAAAAATCAAATGACACGCCACCATGATAACCTAAATGTGAACTATCAGACCTGTTGAAGCCTTACTAACATAATTTGTTTACCGATTTGTCATATATTTGAATAGACTTTAAATGATTTTGAGCAATTGCCAAATAAATCTATATTTAAAGTAGTAAGAAAAAATCGAAAGTCGGGCGGGCCGACTCTATGATACCTTGCACCAATATGCATATTTAGTAGAGCTCTCTTAAAAAAAGAATATATTTGAAGTAGATCATACCACCTATCAACATTTGGCTTTAGAGCAGTTTTAGTTTGGTTTCAAAGGGAGCTAATATATGGGAGGCATATCCAGTTTTGAATCGATTTTCACTAAATTTGACGGAGACATTTCTAATGTCATCTTTTATTCCAAACAATATTGCTATAGAGTGCCTGATATCACTTCATGAAGGAAATATATCGGAGTTACACAAAATGGAAACGTACGTCCGAAATTCACTCCATTTAGGCTGATATTAGCCATTATTTGCACAATAAACTTGAAATCGGATTAAGGATATATATGGGAGCCATATCCAAATCTTAGCCGATCTCTAAAAAATTTGGCAAAAGTATTTCCGAGCTCTATAAGATGTCTGGTACCAAATATTATTGTTGTCGAATGCATATTACGAATGTGAGGGACTTAAACACCAAATCGGATGAAACATATATATGGAAGCTATAGCTATATCTGACCCGATTTACACCATATTTGAAGTACTTGAAGTCGGTTGAAGCTATATCTAAATCTGCTCCGATTATAACCTATTTCAATACGGTTCGTTCTTGGGCCAAACAAATTTTGTTTGCATTTTGTTCACAGAAATACATAGACAGACGGAGAGACGGACTGACATGCATAAATCGATTTAAAAAGTGAATATCCTCAAAAGTGACTATGAGTCTATCTCGCTTCCTTCTTCATGTTACAAACAAATGCACAAAGACATAATACCCTTACCACTATGTGGTGTAGGGTATAAACATAACCTTCTATACTTAAAACCCAAACTTACCACCAACTCCTCCCACATTCGATGATTTCCCCGGTGAGTTGTCCGCATTGCCCAAACCAAATGGCGTTGATTCGCCAAAGTTTGTCATATGCTTATCCTGAACATGTTCCATGAATTTCTGTTGCGTTTCATGTTTAGTATCGCATGTAACGCAGCGTAACGTAACAATACAATCCATATTATTATAATGACGTTTACGTTCGGCCGGATCTTCAATATCAATGCCACAAAAACTACACTGTGTGGTGTTGATATCTTTACGCTGGGCATCGGCATGTTCATCATAGACATGAGTACGAAATTCCAACTTCAAACGGAATGTTTTCGGGCACAAACGGCACTCGTACATTTTGTTCACCAGCAATTCTTTGGCTCGCAATTTTTCCGGGGCCGCTGCAACTGTGGCACTAACGGCCGCTGCAAAATTGGCATTTTTCGACATGAGGCTGTGTAGTACCCTGTGCAGATTTATGCAATTGCGTTTCTTTAAATGCGATATAAACAATGCCTTGGAATCATTCAATTTCAGGCAGTTGAAGCAACAGTTCCGTGGCAATGTAAGGTACTTTTTACGCATGTGAGCCATAAAGTTTTTGTAGGTGGTGTAGAAACGATTGCAGCAACGACAAGTCATTGCATGATATTGGCGTATAAATTCATCATTTTGTTGCAGAAAAACAATCTTTTCATCTGTCAACAAATGCTGATATTTTTCTGGATTGTCATAATCATAGCCAACCTCGCAGGAATTATTGAAAGCGGTAACCACCTCGTGGCGGTATTTTTGTTGTGTTATAACACCACTACTTGTCAATTTACATGCATCAGCCGCGACAGCCGCAGCCACGGCCCTTTGCAGTTCCAATGAGGCATTTAATGCTGCCGTTTGCTTATTCAGTGTAGTGTCATTCTCTTCCAGTGTATCAAACAAATGTGGATGTAAATTCTTCTCGTGCCTCCTGGCATTAGCCCGGGTGGAGAATTTCAAATTGCAAGCACGACAGGCGGCTTCTTTGGTACTCATGCGAATAACAGTACCAGCTGGTAAAGGTGCAATATCAACAGGTGGTCTTATATTATCATAATCATAGGCCGATGAAGAATCCTGTTCAAAGAGAGGATATTATTAAATTGGAACTATGCAATCGGTTTTAGCTTTTGCTCTTTATTTTCATACCATAATGGGTTCTTCACCCTCGTCGGCTGTACGTTCTAAAAACATGGTTGGATCAACCATCTCATCGGATTCATCGTTATGTTTTGCATTATTGTAATCATCTTCTGCATCCATTGGTTCATCCTTGATTTGTACCGCAGGTAGAGGCTGAAACGATAGACAAGAAAAACATATTTCAATATTAAAGCAAATTTTTGAGTAAAAATCATTGATTTTGTTTAAAATATTTATAAAATAGTATTCGGTTCATTTACGCGAGGATTTCTATAATTCAGCGCCAAAAAGTATGCAAAGTTTTTGATTTCAAAGCACATTTCACAAAAGGAGAATAATTTGAAAAATATGATTTTCAGAGTTCAGCAACCAATAATCAAGAAGAATCGTGGAAATAGTAGTTAATGAGGTCGGACTTTTGTAATAAAGGCGATCATTTAGCACATACTACTTCCAAGCCACTAAAAATCTATAATTATTGAGGCCTGGTGATAAAACCGTATGAAAAAAATATGATCCAATAGTGCATATGTACGTGGCTTTTGAAACGCAATCTGCAAACTAATGAACGTTTTCACTTCATTTGTTGATGTTGGGTCACTTTAGCGTTCCAAGAGTGACAACTTTATGAATGATTATACTTGCTTAGTTATTAGCTATTTTTGTACCACCAAATTTTTAGTGCCTCTTCTGAATCCCCATCGGCAGACTTTTGTTGCCTTGGAAAAGTGTTAGAATTGGAAAAGCACCATCCTAGACCAATGACTCTAAAAATAATGGTTGTTCCTGATTGTGTCAAAAAGAAGGCGTTGTGAACCCTTCTGTTGAAATTACAAATCACGAATCGTTGAGATCATGGAATTGGAAAACCCCGTTAATGGTACGGCAAGCTGTACAAATCTTTTGTGAATATGAACTCTAATCTCCCTAACGAAAACTGACTTAAAACATTTAGTAAACGGTCCACTATTACGCGAAGGTCAAGTTGACAAAATGAGGAAAGTCTCTCCAAGAAGGAACGCTTATGGAAGAATACAGGATCCAATATTTTTCCTCCTTCTTTGAGGTGAAATCCACACTTATACTTCAAATAGCAAAATGCTTCTTTGTGATAAACACTCCCCGTCCGTAAGATCATTGGACCCACTCTTATCAATTCTTTCAGCGAACAAGCAATATTGGAAGAAAGTTTACTTTTGCCTTAGGCATGTCAAAAATTTGATAGAGAAGTTTCCACAGAAGAAGTTTGAAGGATCCTCATAGAATCTATTTCTGAGTCGATTTATGCATGTCAGTCCGTCTGTCCATGTATTCTTGTGAACATGCCTCCCATATATTAGCTCCCTCTGAATCCAAACTATAACTGCTCTAAAGTCAAATGTTGATAGGTGGTATGTTCTACTTCAAATAAATTCTTTTGTTACGAGAGCTTTACTAAAAATGCATAGGGGTGTGGGTATCATATAGTCGGCCCCGCCCGACTTTTGACTTTTCCTTACTGGTTAGGTTTGCTAAAAGCACCTCCTGGCAAACCACCCCATTAAAAAACCTCAGAGAAAATTTATTTTTTTTAAATATTTAGTCCCTCTTATCTATCTTTAATTCTTCTTTCTAAGATCAACACAAGGGACCAATGGCCTCTAAATGTAGCAGGTACGATATAACTTGCAAAGAGGGCCGTGAATGTCTCTATTCACCGAGCCCTTCTGTCAAAAACTTTATATAGAATCCTCTGAACTGCCGGTCTAGAACATCACAGAAACGTGTTAAGAAGTCTATAAATGTCAGGGGACATACAAGATCTCTGAACCATAATGGTGCGTCTATTTTCTCATTGTATTTTTACATTTTCAGATTGTGGGAATCTGTACACTATTTTTTGTGGTTACAGAAAGGTCTCCACACCCAAAACCACTAATACATTGCAAAGCCTGCAAAGTAAGACTTCCATAATAAATGTGACTTGTTTTCACAAAAAACTGTGGTCATACTCTAAAAAACTTGGAATTAATTCTTGTATACTGTGTAAAAAACTGACAATGAAATTTCGGATGCGAATACCTTGTATTTCATTTACTATGCAAAGAGATCAGGTGTGATGAAGATTTCCTTCAAAGACAACAAATGGTCTAAGAACAAATTCAATAACAAGGGTCACATAGTCATTATATATTAACTATTTAGATTTACTTTCATATTTTAACAATGGCCGAAAATGAAGAAAAGAGTGGCCTTTTACATCTTGGAGCAGGGAATTACATTTTAAACCAATTGCATTGTGTAGACTTTAAAAGTCCAATGGCGCAAGTTTTCTCTAAGAACAAATTCAACAATAAATATGCAAGCGTATTGATATGGAATTCTAAGCTGGAATATGAATGTAAAAATTTTCCTTTGCCCTTAAGGACTATGTGACAAAGACAATTCTGTTTTCAATTGGGGATGGGTTGCAAATAAGGCCAGAAAATTCTTTATTAATGTTGAAAAACTAAATCTAGTTGCAGGACCTCAAGTCCTTAATCTCTGTTCACCATCACTACGTGGCATAACACTCAGCAATTTTAATTTAATTTTCAATTATATTTTAACTACTTAGATTGATTTTCAGCCTTTGACGAATGCACAAAATGAAGAAAGTATTGGGCGTTGACCTCTTGAAGCAGGGTATGGTACTGTAAAATCATTGCAAGGTGAATGATTTACACTTCAAAATTGAAGGCAGTTGTGTGAAAACATCACGATACAAAATATTATAACTGTTACACAACCTCGGAAAATCACATTTCAATAATGGATGTATAGAATTTTCTACACTCCACTCCCTGAGGATTTTTTTAAATGCAATTTCAAGATATCTCTCGAATGGAAAATGTGCTTTAAAGCAAAACTAAGCAAGGATATCTCAATTTTGGAAACACAATTAGTAATTTTGAATTTCTTCGTCTTTTGGTAAATTAATACCAAATGCTACATCCATCCAAACATATAGCCAAAGTTGATTTTTGACGTTTTTGTAAAATTTCAGTACATTGCATTGCTAGATTTCAGAAAATGGAAACATAATAAAATAATAATTAAATTTATGTTTTTTTGTTTTTGGTTTTTGTACGCCATGATACCCTATGTACGATACTTTTACATTATAGGAGTATCGTCTAAACAAACGTAATTGTTGGACAGCGCTTGAACAAGCAGCAGATGCCGATGCTGACGACGATGTTGCCGCCGATGTCCCCCCAGCAATCAAACAATCAACATCCAAACCAAGACCAACAGTGGACGTTATGGATGTAACGTCACTAGCGATAGAAGCGAGTGGGCTTGTACTGGAACAAGTAGCAGAAGTAGCCGATATATTGGATGCCGAGCATGAAGTGACGGTGGCAGTGACGGCCGTGGCAACAGCAGTAGGTATGGACAATGACGAAGAGGGTGGTGCTGCCGGCATTACAAAGGACTGTTGCTGCTGCTGCTGTTGTTGCCGTCCATGCTTTTTGCTGCCATATTTGGTTTGCTTCATTTTACTACTACCGCCGCTGCTACAATGCGACGAAGCCACTAAAGGACTAGTAGTAGTAGTAGTAGTGGAATGCATTTGTTTCTGCGCGAATTGGGAACGATGCAAATTTGTCGTATCAACTTTTCGCTGAGAAGAATGTTTGTGCCTAGTGTAACGACGTTTTGTTAGCAATGGCTTAACTGTAGCAGCGGCCGCTGTTGCTGCTGTAGCGGTAATAGTAGCAGCAGCAACCTCTGCTGGATGATCTGGATGTTTGATTTTTGGGGACGTAGTGGTTAATAGCGGTAATGGTGATTGAGCATGTAGCGAATGCTTAGCTTGAGAAGTTGGATCTTTTTGTGACACCATTTGTTGGTGTTTTTGACTCACATAGACTGTTAATGATTTGCGTTTTTTCAACGTTGATATTCCCTCCAATATGGAGGAGGCCAGTGATTGTTCATCTTTTTGCTGCTGATCTTCGCTGTGATTATCTGATATTGCTGTTGTTGTGTGTTGTGATTGTTGTTCAGCGTTGGATTTTGTTTTTTGCGGTGACGATGATCCATCTAGCCAGGAACGTTGTTTATTTTGTGCTGATAAACAACGATTTTTGAATGATTGCCAGGAATTTAAGTAACTGATGCAGGCATGACAGATGCGTAACGATAGATTATCCGTTGATGATATCTGGAAAGAAAAAGAGAAGGGGATAATTGATTAGTATTTTCGGAAAGGGTTAGATTTGGAAAAAAAAATCTTAATTGTAAAAAAAATATAAATTTTGGTAGTTGGTTTTTTATACCCTACACCACATAGTGGTAAGGGTGTTATATCTTTATTCATTTGTTTGTAACATGGAGAAGGAGGAAGAGAGATAGTTACTTTTGAGGATATTCATAGAATCACTTTCTCAGTCGATTTATACATGTCTGTCCGTCTATCCGTCCATGTGTTCTTGTGAACAAAATGCAGGTGGGATTTATTATCCGTTTGGGATGAAATTTTGCAAACAGTATTTGTTTGGCCCATGGAGGAACCCTATTGAAATTGGTGATGATCGGATCAGATTTGGATATGGATCTCACATATATTTTCAGCCGACTTCGGGTTAATTGTTCACCAAATGACCAATAACAGTTCAAATGACCTGAATTTTGGCACATCCAATCGTATTCAGTCTATGAGCAAGTACATTAAATTTGGTGAAAATCAGTTCAGATATAACTATAGCTCCCACATACATATATGTTTCATCCGATTTGGTGTTTAAGTCCCTCACATTCGTAATATACAGCAATGATATTTGGTGCCCGATATCTCATAGAGCTCGGAAATGCCTCTGCCAAATATTTTCAAGATCGGTTCAGATTTGGATTTAGCTCCCATATATATCTTCAAATGATTTCGGGTTAATTGTGCACCAAATGGCCAATATCCGTCTAAAAGTCCTGGGTTTTGGTACATCCGACCGGGTTCAGTTTAGAAGCAAGTACATCAAATTTGCAGTAAATTGGTCCAGATATAGCTTTAGCTCCGTTTCATCCGATTTGGAGTTTAAGTCCCTCACATTCGTAATATGCATTCGACAACAATAATATTTGGTATCAGATATCCTATAGAGCTCGGAAATACCTTTGTCAAATTTTATCTTGAACGGCTAAGATTTTTTATAGCTCCCATATATATCTTTAATCCGATTTCAGGTTTATTATGCAAATAATGGCTAATATCAGCCCAAATCGAGTGAATTTTCGGGACATACGTTTACAGTTTGTAGAACTCGGCTCCAATATATATATTTTTAATATCATCCTTCTCGAAAGATTAAAGTGTCTCCGTCAAATTTAGTGAAAAAACGTTTCAGAATTGGATATGCCTCCCATATATTAGTTCCCTCTGAAACCAAACTGTAACTGCTCTAAAGCCAACTGTTGATAGGTGGTATGATCTACTTCAAATAAATTCTTTTGATACGGGAGCTCTACTAAAAATGCATAGTGGTGTAGGGTATCATATAGTCGGCCCCGCCCGACTTTAGACTTTTCCTTACTGGTTGGTAGTTAAATTTCTTGATGAAACATAACTTTAAAAAAATTGTATGCCCCGACATTTAGTTTGTCTTGAATTGTCTTTAAAGACCTGCAATTGAAAATGTTTATGGAATATACTATTAAAGCATTAACAGCTATTCCAACGATATGTCGTGTTTGTATTTGACAATATTTATATGCAAAGCTAATAAGGAAAATATGTAATCTACATCATCAAACAATCAGTACCTCCCACCACACTTTTCTCAATAACAACAGGACTCCCTTTGATTTTATATTGTTTTCTTTGTATCACATTAAAATGCATCGCCTCCTCACACTCTACTCTCCTCTCTATTCCATTCTAGCTTGAGGTTCCCCTTTCCAATCGTAGAACCGTATACGTTTTGAAATGCTATAATGATGTACAAAATTATTCCAAGATAATTTTGCCAGTTACTACTTAAATGTCTTCCAATAATTAGTCAAGCACATACAACATCCAAGTCCTGTTTGTAATTACAAATGAATGCCATTGACCTCTTGCAATGCACAAGTGTGTCTGTATGTGTGTGGTTTCCTTTGATTATTGGTGTGCCTGTATGTGGCAGTGTGTGTGCGTCTGTGTGTGTGTATGGAGAATAATATTAAATAAAATTTGCACATGAGATGTATACACAAAACATGTACCTTTCTGATGTGTTCATATTGGTACATGTGTAGGAAAATCTATGCAACCAGCTGGGTACACAATACAACTTTTGGACAGCAATGCATAAAGGGATGAGTGGAGGCAATTCGAGTGATTTTGAATTGAATTAATAAAAACATATCTCATTCAAACCAAATGTCAAAATTTTGCGGAGAATTGTTCCTTCTTTTTTTAAAAAGGTAGATTGAGAATTTCCTTGCTATGAATAACTTCTTTCAAAGGATACTAAAAATTTCCTACAAGAAACTCGGTCTAATTTCTTGAGCTTTCGGTTATGCCATAGGCCATACTGTGGCACTGGTTTGTGATATGCATAAGGAAACGAGATGGGCTAAACTTTGTATATCTCATATATTTGGCCCAAGAACGAACTTTATTGAAAATGATAGTTTGTTCTGAATCGGATGTAGCTCCCATATATACCTCCGTCCGATTTTACGAAGCCAAAGATCTTCTGGTGTGAGGTAGGTAAATGTGGCAGGGTATTTAAAGAGAGGCAGCGTATTGTACTGGCCTGTATTACACGCCGGGCAGACGTTACGCACATCATCGTGTCCAATACGAGTCTAGACGACTGCACCCTCCTGAACATAATTGCGCTTAAGCTACCCTGTTTTGTCATTCTGTAAATACTGCTATCCGACTGCAGCGGTTACCTACATGATCTAGAGAGGGAGGACCAACGCTTTAAGAGAGAACCTCTAGATCAAGAAGCTTATCAAGCAGGTTTGAGTGGCATTCATACCGATGCCGTCGAAGATGCTATGAGCAATTACAGTATGAATGCCGTACTCGGAGTCCACCCTCCAACCATTGCAGCTGAAGAACGTCAGCTGCCTAGACAAGCCAGGATAGTTTTGGCTCAATTACGATCCGGATGGTGCAGCCGCCTAAATTCCTTATGGGCCGGATTAACAGCCAAGCCTACTCATCTAACTCCAGTCTCGTCATGGATACAACCCATACAGGTTGTATCCTTTTTGAGACTGGACTTAGAAGCAATACCAGATTGAATGGAGTCAGAAAATGGAAATAGAACGAACACAGCTGTATGAGCTGCTACAACAACAACCAGGGAAGTTTTGGCGCAATTACGTTCAGGACCGCCCGTTTGCACCGCCAAACCTACCCAGCTTACTCCAGCCACTTTTATCTCTGGATACAGCCTATTAAGGTAGCCGAATTTTTTAAACCTGGTGCTCGAACCAGATTAGCAGAAACCAAACATCTGCATGTCCTACTGCTACAACAACAACAACAACGACGACGGCGGATCAACCCGAAACAACAACATCCGAGTTTCGGACCGCGGGTAAGATATCTGATACTTTTCATCCATTTTCCCATTGCCATCACTTGCCAGAATCTTTGACACGAGCATCTTGAAATAGCTTACATAGAAGCTTATAGCTGTTTATAGCTGAATAATCCCAACAGTCGATAGGTCAGCCGACTGCCAAGCACTTCAAGCTAAATCTCCAGCTATCATTCCCCATTAGAATAATATGGCCTGGAACCCAACAGACCTTAATGAAGTAACGTAATTGCATTTTAGGATCTTCTGGCTAGTTACATATATGGTCACTGGTCATGTTCTGGTGCCTTCTTCCATCTTGGAGTCGTATGTGTAAATAGCTATTAGGTAGTATTACGTTTGCATAGTGGATGCTGGAAAAAGTGGACATGCAAACACAACCAAGCATTGTTTGGTGCTTTGACAGTTCACGTAAATCCCTTAAGTCTATTCGTAGAGGAACAGGCAGTCAGTAGTAGCACCCTGAGACAACTGCAGCGTATTCTTGGCACAAACAATTAAATATTGAGGTGTACCAAGTCTGAATAGAATCGGATGTTAATTTCGCGTTTTATGAGCTTCATGGGTACTCAACATTTTGACCCTTTGTGGGGGAGGTACCAAAAGGAGTGGACCGATCTCTACCATCTTTATAACCGATTTAGTGTTGATAGAAATATTGAGATTTGCCGAGTCGTAATGGAATCGAATTTTATTTTCGTATGTTCTGAGCCTCATGGATATTCAAAATTTGGACCCTTTGTGGGGGAGGTATCAGAAGGAGTTGACCGATATATTCCATCTTTACAGCAGACCTTGGGCTGGTAAAAGTATTGTGATTTTTGTAATTTGAAGACAATCGGACACTTACATCACATTTTATAAGAGTTATAATTATTCAACAATTTGACCCTTGGTGGGGGCGGTACTTGATGGCGTGGACCAATATTGTCCATTTTCACAACTGACCTAGCACCGATACAAATATTAGGAGCAAAACCGGAGTATGCTTTCTTTTTCTGTGCATATTAAATTGAAAATATTGATATGGAGGATATTGTGTGCGAGGTACCAGAAGGAGTCTACCAATATTGCCCATCTCCGAACTATATCTAAGTTTGATAATAATATTACGATGTGCCAAGTTTGGATCAAATCGGATATTCCCTTATAGAGTTATCGTGCGCACTAGCCAGGCAGACAGAGAGACAGACGGACGGGCATCGCTAGATCTACACCAAATGTTCTGAAACAGATGGTCTACAGAGACCTAGGGTCTAAAACAGTTATTTCGATGAGGCACGTTGTGGCCGTATAAAATGATATATATACCATCTGTAGCCATATTGCTGAGGGCATAAGCACACATATTTTTTGTTGTCGTTTGGCGCCACCTCTGTACAGTGCAATGGCCTCTAACTAAGTTGAGTTACAAAACATTCAGATTGTGTAGAAGGAATTACCTTATCCTTATTTTTAAAAAGAAAAACACGAATATTTTATTTTTTTTTTTCGTTGGGCGCCACCTCTGTGCAGTGCAATGGCCTCTCGATATTATTTGCCAATAATTCAATTCAAATTATTAATTTTTTCAACATGAGTATAGCTAAGCTTTCACTGATTTTTAAGCTAGCAACAGGAAGGGATTCCT